CAGTTACTTACAGTTGCCGGCGCATTGATAACACCTATGCAGTAGCCCGTGGGCACAGCCGCGCCCAGAGTCGTTGCGAACGCCACCAGCAGTAGAAGTTTGCTCCATGTTTGTTTCTATAGAGGAATACATAAGGGTTTTAATACAGATAGCAATAGATACGAGATATTGATATAGGTTGTACATAGACGTATAGATAAAGATATAGATAAATTCATATTTATAGGCATAGATAGGGATGGAAATATTAGTACATGTATAAGGCTTCCACATTTGAGATAAGGACAAGCAAAAAGGTAGGACAGAGCGATCCATAAACAAAATAATTTATAAAAAAAAAACATAACAAAAATTATTTGATTTTTATTAATAAGAAGGGAATTTTTTTTTTTTATATGCATACAACACGAATTTATTTAAATGAAAAAAAAAAAAAAAATAAAAATAAATAAATAAAATAAAATAAATAAATAAATAAAATTAAAATAAATTAAATATAAATATAAACAAAATAATATAAAATAATTAAAATCTGCATTTTATAAAAATTACTAAAATATAATGTAAAAAATAAATAAATAAATAAAATAATTTTTCATGATATTATAAAAACATTTATATAATGAAAATTTGACATCACTTTTACATAAAAAGGAATAATTATAATCGACTATTAATTGTGCGTCATTCGCTAGTTTTTATTACCCCTTATCAGCGACATTGATTTATTTACTGTTTTTATTAGAAATTTTTATTTGCATCTAGAGTCACTAATTTAGTGACCCCATTCGGCGAATGATTTATTTTGGCAAGCTCTCGTCAGTATCAATTTTCTAATTCTATTTAATTAGATCAATGTCTGAACTTTTCTTTTGAACTTGAACAAAATATTAAAATTCTGTGGAGGGGAGGAACTGATAAGGCACCAAAATTTGTGTATAGAGCTTTATATGTAAAAATGTACACAATGCCACCAACAAGCAAGCACACACACATACACAGACTAGTAGGAACTGTCATATGCATACATACACATACATATGTATGTACATGTGCCTGTATATATTTATAAATATGCGCGGAAAGCTTTAAATAAGTCTGTGTACTTTGTCATTTGGCTTTTGGGAGAGAAGATAAATGCGCAAAACACTGAATAGCTAAATGCAATACAATACAGCAAAAAAGTAATTAATTTAGTTTTAATTACTAGCTACGCGTAGTTATATGAATAATATGTTAGCTAAAATAGTAGGGGTAATTTATTTTTGGTCATTACAGATGAGATATTAGAATTAGTCTTATGATTTAACTGGCATATGCTTAAGCACACGAAAAGATTTATTTTAGATGAACGCATACTTTCGCACGCTACTATGTATGCATATTTACAGTTCTAATATACAGGTCTCTGTTTGTGTGTGCAATTGAGTGCATGCGATCGTAGTTCCTGGGTTCAGCTGTAAAGCTACATACATATGCGTAATTCGTAATTTATGTAAATACGAAAGTCAATTCAGATGTTAATATGCACATATGTATGTATGTATTTACATATGTATATTTAGTCTATGAAAAGAATATAAAACGTCGTTTTTTGAAGCGGACGTATTGGTTTAACTTATTAGACGATTCTCCGACAAAGCATCAACAAATGTTGCAACGCAACAATTTGTTGATGTATCAATTACAAAAAAAAAAAGTAGGTGGACGAAAGAGAAAGAGAGATGCTTGCAGAAGGTTAAAGTAGTGCAGTGAAAATAAGTTGTGTAGTTCAACGATTTACAGTTTGTAAACAAAAGTTGAGAAAGGAAAGCGCAGAGCAGATACAACAATGCCACAACGTCTATTACAACTGCTGCTCACCTGATTAATTTCCGTTTGCTGTGGAGCTATTTCAACCTTAAATGGCGGGTTCAAATGTTCAGCCTCAACGTTATTATGGGCCGACATATTGGAGATGCACTTTTTTTATATATTTTTTATATTATTTTGAACTTTTTAACAATTCAACTTCACTGTATTTAAGGCCACCGGTCGGCGCACATGTGTGCCCTTTAAACGGTAATTGTTTGTGTGTTGTGCCACTTTCTTTGCTGCCGGCGTCTTCATTTGCAGGTTAGTGTTGTATAACAACAAACACAAATAACCAAAAATCGAATGCGTAGGTAACACACATATGGTGTCTATATACGACACTCGCAGACTTAATTTGTTTAACTAAATTTGTTGAACATCAAGTTGGAAGAGAACGCAGAAGTAAACAAAAATAGAAACAAGCGGCCTCGTTCGCCACCTGTTTGCAACTAACATTGTTGTAAACTTTTTGGTAGCATATAGCAGCTGGCAGCTTCTTAAACAAAAAGCTTTTGGCAGCAGTCAACAACAATTTCAGAGCTAGCAAAGCTATGCAAAGCTTTTAAAGCTTATGCGCGCATTTAGTCGATAGTTCGATTGTATCGATAACAATTTGAATATAAATTTGTGTGATAGCGTGGCAGCTCTATGTGTCAGCTGTTTTGTTTTTTTTTTTGTTGACGTTGAGCGGTGTTCGTGGGTTGACCAGTAAATATATATTTATTTTCAATTATAATTAAGTACTTAATACTTGCTGTATTCTTAGATATTAATTGGTAACTATGACGCTTGCGTACGATTCGGTATTAGCCACTACGGCGGTGATTAGCACTGTTTTTCAGTTTCTTTCGGGCACGTAAGTATTGATATATACATACGTACATACATATATGCAAATTGTTTAATAATCTTTAAATACTAATGCTGGCGGTCTTTTGTACTCTCAGCGTAATTTGCCGCAAATATATACAAAAGAAGAGCACGGGCGAATCGTCGGGTGTACCATTCATATGTGGCTTCTTATCGTAAGTATGAATTGTCGACGTCGACAAGAAATAGATATATGTATGTGTAGATAGATAAAAAGGTATTTTGAACAGCAATTTTCCCTGAACTTTACATGTTTATACAGCTGCAGTTTTTGGCTGCGCTACGGCGTGCTAACCAACGAGCAGAGCATCGTTATGGTCAACACGATTGGTTCCACGCTCTTTCTCATCTACACACTCGTCTACTACGTTTTCACGGTCAACAAGCGCGCCTACGTTAAGCAATTCGGAATTGTCTTGGCGATACTCATAGCCGTTATTGTCTATACAAATAGTTTACAGGATGATCCACAAAGGATGATACATTTAACAGGTGAGTGCAAAAATATATACATATCATCGTAAAATTAATAATAGTTCTTTTTAAAATTGGTGATTATTACACAAAAATTATTATTTTAAAAATTATATAAAATATTTGTTGGAAAAATAAAAACTAAAAATATGGAAAAAATGTAATTCATGAAAATAATAGAATATAAAATTAAAAATAAAATCAATTAATGAATACTACTGAACAATATTGAATGTTTGCATATGATTAGTATTTGCATTATTAAGTATACTGTTTGAAACTGAATTACAGGCATTGTTTGTTGCATTGTTACCGTTTGCTTTTTTGCTGCACCGTTGACGTCGCTGGTGCATGTGATACGAGTGAAGAACTCGGAAAGTTTGCCCTTGCCCCTAATAGCCACCTCGTTCTTCGTCAGCCTGCAGTGGCTAATCTATGGCATTCTAATATCGGACTCATTTATACAGGTGACACGACTCCCAGCCTAAATTGCAATTTTAATATTATATTACATATATTGGGTCTACCTTTTGTTTTTTTTTTTTCTCTCTCTTTTATTTTTCAGATACCCAACTTTCTCGGCTGTCTGCTATCGTTGCTTCAATTGGGTCTGTTCGTATTATATCCGCCACGTAGCTATAGTTATACCGGTCAGGGCTATAAGCTGCTCGAGCAAGCAGTGCCCTTCTAAATTATAATTATTTTGATTCGTATTAAGTCGAGATTTGTCTGTACTTAAATATATTGCGCATTTTGCATATGATATTTAAGCATGTTCCATACAGGTATATATGTATATTTTGATAAAACGTAAATGTCAAAATCAAAATATGTCGCTTGATTTAGTTTGCAAATATATATTATATACATATATAAAAATAACTATATATATATGTATATATATATATATATAGGCATAGCGAATATGTAATGTAAAATATATAATTATAAAACTGATACTTTGATAAAACACGTTCATATTTTGTATGTACTTACAATTTCCTGACTATTCTCGCTGCCCATCTGTTTGTAATTGATGAAATACACTAAGGAATGTGAAGCTAATTATTTAAGCACGTATTTTTCGACTGATGGCTGAATACAAACTAGAGCTCATGTAAGAGATTTGTATAATGTACGAGCTGCACACTCTATCGACAAGGGCGGAGCTGATATGCTGATAATAAATAACTTGCATTGTTAATTCAAATAATTTCCCTGCTTAAGTCAATAATTGAACAGGGTGCTTATCTCATAGTTTATCTTTATAACCAATCGAAATCATTTCACAGAAGAGCACGGTTCTGATAAGAATTCAATGGGCATTTGGCCAAAATTGGCGTGTCAATAATCATATCAATATATATTATTTGCAGTTCCCTTTCAATACACAAGTCATTTACAAGAATATTGATTTGTGCGTAGCCAGCTGCTTGATGTAAATTAGTTAGCATTTCAAATTACTCTTGCTTTGGCGCCTTTAACGTTTGCGATTATTGTAAATAGATCGATAGCAAAGTTTCATCGCTGCTGGTAACAAAAGACCTTGCTTTTCCTTCGTTCGTTAACTGGGCATATTTGGATATAGATAAAAAGTAATAATTATTTATTATGACATAAACATAAAACTATAAAAGCGAAAGAGACTAGTTTGCAAAATATGTAAGCCCTAAGAAGCGTAAGCTGCAGAAGGAGCGCCAAATTGCATTTCCATTTCAAATAACGATTAGTTTTTGCGCAATCGATGTTCATTTACTTTGCGATGAGTGATTGTAGACTACTCGATAGCACGCTGCCATCGCTACTGGCAACAAAAAAATTGCTATCGTTCTTCGTCATCTCCGTCTTATTTTTGCAATTGAATAAAGAAACCCAAAAAAAAGAGTATACATATAAACAAATTAAATGCAGGAACAGAGTCCCGAGCTATACGAGGAGGTTAAACTCTTTCGAAATGCACGTGAACGTGAGAAGTACGACAATATGGCCGATTTGTACGCGATTATAAACACAATCCAACAGCTGGAAAAGGCGTACATTCGGGACTGCATTACTCCACAGGAATACACAGCCGCTTGCTCCAAGCACCTCGTACAGTACAAAATTGCGTTCAAGCAGGTGGAATGCGAAGAGTTCCCCACCGTGGACACGTTCGTGAAGAAGTTTCGCTTGGACTGTCCCGCTGCACTGGAGCGCATTCGCGAGGATCGACCCATTACGATACGCGACGATAAGGGCAACACCTCCAAGTGCATTGCCGAAATTGTTTCGCTTTTCATTACAATAATGGACAAGCTGCGATTGCAGATCAATACAATGGATGCACTGCAGCCGGATGTTAAGGATTTAGATGACAATATGAATCGCTTGTCGCTCATACCCGAAGATTTCGATGCCAAGCAAAAAGTGGACAAGTGGCTGGGCACCTTGAATGAGATGCAGGCATCCGACGAACTGACCGAGGCGCAGGTGCGACAATTCCTTTTTGACCTGGAATCGGCCTATGCGGATTTCAATAAGCTGCTCCACAGCCAGTAGTTGTTAATAATTGCTATATATAACATTTGTAACCCTATAATCTATCTACATTCAATTAGTCTGTACGAAACTCTTGCAATAAAGAACAAAAATTTATTGAAATGTGCAAATCCTCTGTGATTTTACGAGTTTTGTAAATGGCGGATGTAATAGTGGTGAGAGCTGCTAAAAGACAATTTATCTAAATTTATAGACCAATGTGAACTTGTCATATAAGGAGCTGATCCGATTAATAGGACTATAATGTATTGATTTTATATACCATAAGAAAAAGTCATGGAAATAATCATATAAGGCCATATCACCATCTTCGCAGATCCAGCTTTAGAATCTAAAACTATGTACAGTCCAGACAGTTTAGCTTTTCATATATAAAATATAAAAAATAATACAATAGAAATTTTATAGATATAAAACAAATCATATTTTTGTTTTTGTTTTTGTTTTTTTGCATTTGTTTGGATTTAATCGTATTTTTATCTTCTCTTCTTGTATTTAATTTAAATATTAAGGTTATAATTATACAATACACATAAGTTTAAACCGATTACAATAATTAATTTTTGTTTGTTGTGTGTGTGTTTTTTTTTTTTTGTTTTTGTTTTCTTTCATTCACTTTACGTTTTGACGTTTGTTGTTGGTTTGTTTTTGTATTTCTTTCATCTTACGCTTATAAATCTGTTAAATCGTTTTACGCCTTTAATATTTAATAATTGTTATCTTTGTAAATTATTCTTGTATGCAATGTGAAAAATGGTACTTGGTATAGTTTTTTGTTTTCGTTTTTATAATTATTAAATGTAAATGTTGTGGGCGGGGCCTGTATGTATGTATGTATTTTGTATTTGGTTGTTGTGTATGCGCGTATGTGAATGCGTGTGTGTGTGTTTGTGTGTTCATGTGTGGCGTATGTGTATTTATATGGTATGTGCGGCTTTGTATACTTTATAAAGTTGCATAAGTCTTTGCACTGTTCGTTACGTTCTATTGGAGCAGGACAATTGGAGATGGGGCACGGGGCACGGGGCGTGGGGCGTGGGCGAGCAGTAAAAACATTTCTTATTAAGTAAAATATGATTTCTCATTTGCATATACTAGATAATCCTTAACATCATTATCTGACGAATGTTGTTCCTCGCTCAACGTTGCGTTTAGCTGTTGTTGTTGTTGTTGTTGTTTCTCCTTGACAAGCATTAGTAACTGATTTGTTGCCGTTGTTGTAGGCAACGCTCTTTGACTGATATTATTATTATTATTATTATAAATGTGAATGGGTGTTGTTGTTGTCGCTGTTGCTGCTGCTGTTGTTGTTACTGTTGTTGTGTTGGTTGCTGCTACGGTTGTTGTTGTTGTGTTTGTTGTTGTTGTTATAATATTAGTGCGCAGGCCGCAAGCATTTGTTGATTGCAGCGTCGTCAGCTGCAATGGCCGCCAAATCGTCTTCTCCGTAAGCTAGTTCTGCCCGGTCCAATATGAATTGGGGTAGCTCGGTTTGCCGGTCGACTTGGACTGGCTGCTCGACTGTTGGCGCTGGCCAGCGCTGTTCGAGTCCTGCAAAAGGCATCAACAATATATACATTAATTAAATATGAGCAACTACAGACAGAGAAAGAGAGAGAGAATTAGGGTTAGCAGCATAATAAATATATGTATATATATATTATATATATATAGAGAGAACGCGTACACATATAGTTACTCATATAAATATATATATGTGTATGTGTATGGTTGTGTGTTTGTTTGTTTGACTGTGTAAAATTTCATGTTTGATATGCATGAATAATTAATACGTTTAGCCCGTGTTTTCCTTTTTCTCTTGTCAGCAACAAATTGGTCATAGAATCAAATCGAAAGCCAAATTAATTAATATTTTTGTTATATTGTTTAACTACAGTTATTAGTTTTAGACAAACAAAGGGTTAATACTACAGTTGTTATGTGCGTGTGTGTGTGCGTGCATGAATTATTGTTAGTTGTTGTTATATTAATTTCATATCTACTTATTTACATGCATTCGTGTTTAGCAACAATTTGAATATTTACCAAAAGTAACAGAGAGAACGAATTTTTAGATTTGTGTGTTTAGTTCACTTGATACAACAAACAACAAAGGAAAACTTACCCGGCGGGATGAGCTATGAATCCTGCCGTCCATCTAATGTTGTCCCATAAAAAAATCAAAAGAAATTATAAAGAAAAACAAAGTCAAACAATCGAACAGTTTTCATGCATTTCACAAATTTTTCATTTTATTTCTATTTGTTTTTTTTTTTTGTTTGTTTTTTTTTTTCTTTTTCGAATTGAAATCAAATTGAAGTTGAAATTCTTTTATCCCAGTTATAAAAAGTTCAAAAACTCAGGTAGTGTGTGTGATATAAGTGTGAGTGAGTGATATTCCCCATAAGCAAGAGAATGTGAGCTCGATATGATCGAAAGTATATATGCATGAAATGTTAGCTACGTTTTAATTAGGTTTACGAGACTTTTAGACATTTACGGCATTAGGAGCTATAAAACACTAGCTCATTAATTTTTAATTGTATAACAGTATAACATTTAAAAAAAAAAACTTGCTTAAGGCAGAAGAATAAGCTTGTTTCTAGAAGGAACTAGTTCAAACACTGGTAACAAAACTAAAAAAAAAAAAAAAAAAAAAAAAAAAAAAAAAAATTGAACTAGTTCTATAACTAAATGAGTTTCATAATGTAAATTGACCAAAGTCTAGATTTAAATAATAAATCCCTTGTCAAATTTGATAAAAATTAGTTACAAATCTTTTGATTTATATTTCCTATTTATAACATAGTATAGCAATGGAACGATAAAATTCTTTGTAGAATTGTTAAGTAAATCATATCAGACCTCTATTAATTGAACTTTTCTTGTTAAGGTTTCAAATATATCACTTTCACTTTTCTTTTTAAGGTTTCAAAGAAATCACTTTTATGATAAAGAATGAGTTATACATTAGTTCTTCAGAAAGCATAGCAATTTACACCATAACCATTAAAAAATATACAAATGATTTATATACATATACATAATACAAAATTGAAACATAATATTGGTAGATCAAATCATATGAAGCCTTTACCATTAGTTCTATCTATTGTACATTATAAGGTTTGTCGTTTTCTTCAACTAGTTTGCTTTATGAACGAGATCAAAGTTTTGTCTATTAAATTCCATACTGGATTCCATAAGGTTAGTTAAATGATTCTGCAGATTTTTTTTTAGGAACTTAAATATATAATAATAAAATGAAAGCCAAATCGAATCAAGGCTAAAAAGAATTAAAATTAGTGCACAATGTGAAAAATGAAACAGTTAATAGATATTTGTATTTTTCGTTTTGTTAATATAGGATTTTTTTTTTTGTTTTGTTTTGTTTTTTTTTTTTTTTAACAACAGCAACAGCAATACAAAACCAATGAAACAATTTCTATGCATACAAAATAAATGTGTGATTAAAAACTGAAAACAAAGCATTGAAAATTTTGATGAGGTCCAAGTGTTAGATGTGAATGGACATGCATGATATAATTTCTTGTTTTTTTTTTCAAGTGTATGCGATAGTCGTCAAGCAATACATATATAGATATTTATGAAACAATAGCAATCTGTGTGTGTGTGTGTGTGTGTGTTAATTTTGGTAAAATGTTGCTATTTCTTTTTGTTTCTTGAATGTTCACTCTGCAAAGAACGTTATGCCACTGATATCGTCTTGTATATAGTTGTCATTATCTTGCTGACCGTGTCCCGGTATAATATATTCATGTTCATTATGTTGATTATGTTCACCATCACCATCATTATCGTCGTCATTATTATTATTATGATTTTGGTCATTATTGTGATGCCACATTTGCTCATTCTCGTACGCGTCTTGTTGTATATTATTTGGATTGTCTTGATTGATAAGAAACTGCTGTTCAGCACTGTACTCTACCTGATGGATTGGCGGATGGATCATGTTGTGATGTCCAGCCGCTGGCATCGGCAGATACATGCCATAAGGCTGAGCTGAAGTGCCGCCCGCTGTCTGTGTGTTGGCCATGTTGAATGGAGGCGGTGTGCCCGAGTGGAAACTCTGCTTCTCATACGACTGCAATGAAATTAAAATATATGAATATATATTATATATATATATATGGATATATTTTGTTTCGTTTGATACGCACATTGACCTTGTTTAGCGCCACATGACCCTTGCCATACATGGACGAGGTCAGATCGGAGCCTGTGCCAGCCTGCGGTTGATTGGAAACCGTTTGCGTTTTGCTCTGCTGATTCACACTGGACGAATAGCCGCCCTTGCTGTAATCCTGAGTTGTCTGCGACAGGGCATCATAGCTGGTCGAGCCGTAGCCAGCGCTATACGAAGGCTTTGGGAACTGGCCACCGGATGCTGTATTGGCAGCCGGTATTTGTTGCTATAATCATAAATATATACAATAGATTTAGCATTTTATAGATATTTGATTTGATGAATAGAGCCTTACTGGATAGATGGCTGGTGTGCCATATTGGAAACCGCCGGGCATTACATTGCCACCGTAGAAATAAGCATAAGGAACATTCAGCATTGGCGCACTGGAGCCAGCTTGTTGCGACATTGTGCTAGACACCTGTGCAAGGCAAATTATAAGAATTATTATAGATAACATGGAAATATTATTTACACTTGCTTCACTTGCCTCTTTCATACTCACATTACTAACAGGACTGGAGTTATTGTCGGTGCGAGCGAAGCGTCCATCAGTCATTGTTGAGTAGGCCACAGAGCCGAGATTGTCGCGACCGGCGCCCAGGCTGGTGGGCGTGTAGTTAAGATCGTAATATCCTTGCTGTAAGCCAACGAAATAAGAATAAAAAGAGTCACAATTAGGGTTAAGGCGCTGCACTTCGTCCACAACGGGACAGCAAATGTGAATAAATGATGTGAGTTAAGCTGCGATAATGGTTTAGGCAGAGCGCGTTGCCAGGGCAAAAAACAAAAGCAGCTAACACAGAACTGCGCACAAAAAAAAAAAAAAAAATATTATTGAATGGAAAAAATGAATATAAACAAAATTAAGAGTTAAATTTTAACAA